TTACTTCAGGTCAGAAGTCACCCTAACGTAATCGTTTTTGTCTTTCCACGGGAGAATTGCTGTGTGGTGGTAAATCTCGCGTTTGGGTAAAATCAATAAGGTGTTGAAATTCAAGCTTCCAAGGCAGGCTGATCAACAACAGTGCATCACACTTTGACAATGGCTGTATATTTAGTAACAGATGCCCAAGTTTCCATAAAGCCAGACCCATATTGTTACACATCATTGTGTCATACATACTTTCTTTTTGCAGACCGTAAAAAGAAGACTCAACCTAGATTCTCCCCAGCATGACGCGACTTTCAAAACTCCAAATAAGACGCCCCTGCACAGAAGAGCGAGGTACCTCTCGGGTGATTACCCGTCGCCCAGTCCGTCCAAGCAGGGTGAGTTTGTAGACTTGTCGCGTCCGGTAACCCACATTCCCTAGCAGGTGTCACATGGCCATCGTTGTCAATTTTGACGATAGAGGTTGACGAATCTCGGAAAGATCGTTGTGGTAAGCGTATGTTGCATCTACTACATATAAGTCCATCGCATCTCGCATGTAAGTTCGTAGTTGTTGGTCGTGCCAATAACCAAGGTTATATCAAGGTCATATATTGTAAGGGTGCTGTATTATATCTTTTTTATCCTTTTAACGTGCACAATGGTTAGACTGTTCCGCCTGTCTGCCGCCAGCTGACACGTCAGGGAGTCTGCCATCGCCCGCGGAGCGGTCCCGACATGAGACCTCGCTCGGCACACTCACCAAGCGATTTGTGGGCCTGGTGCGAGCCGCTGGTGACGGCGTGATCGACCTGAACCAGGCCGCCCAGCTGCTGCGCGTCAAGAAACGCCGCATCTACGACATCACCAACGTGCTGGAGGGGGTCGGCCTGCTGGAGAAACGCTCCAAGAACCGGGTGCGTCTGGCCGAGGCGACCAGCGCGGCGGACGCCGGGCGCGCCGACGCCGAGCGGCTCGAGCGGCAGCTGGACCAGCTGCTGGTACTGGCCGGCCGGCTGGCCGAGCAGCGGCCGCCGGCCTATGTGCGCTACCAGGACCTGCGCGGCCTGACGGGCCGGCGCGACTGCACCGTGCTGGCCATCCAGGCGCCGCCAGAGACCACGCTACGTGTACCTGATCCGGCACAGGTGAGATGAACGAGCAGCCTGCGCTTCCGCGCGGGCAGTGATAGTGCGTCTTGTGTTAACGCGAACTTTTAAACCCAACAGGCGACACCTCAATGCAATATTTATAGTGTGATTTATTGAATGTCTCAAAGCTCAAGTTATCACAGTTTGAAGCTAATGACGATCTGAGTGTTATTTTATGTTACTCCTTCGAGCTGTGTGACGATAATTGTGCTGTAACATGTGAAGTGAGAACGCGTGCTGGCTGTTAGGTGTTTCACTAACTTTCTCCCTTCCTCTGTCAACAGGAGGGTGTCTACCAGCTGCACTTGCGCTCGGAGACGGGCGAGATTCAGCTGCTGCTCTGCCAGGACGACCTGCGGCCGGAACGCAGCCCGAGGGACGACTCTGCGCTGACCGGCAGTCAGAGTCCTCTCCCCCCGCCCTCGCGGACCCCGTCAGACACCCGTACCGACGACTCTCTCCTCACCGGCGCTGAGTCCGGCCTGGGCGACTCGCTGCTGGACGGTCTGTCCGGACCGCGAGTCAAAGTGGAGCCCGTGGAGACGGTCCGGCTCGGCTCGGTCGGATACGGCACGGACTGTATCAGTTCGGAGCCGGAGCTGGCCGCTGAGCGGTCACCGCGCGCGGAGCGGCACGACGGGAGGGGCGGTAACACGGAACCGCAGCCGCAAACGTCAGGTATGTGTGTCGAGACTCGAGTGGACCGAGCAAAGACGCGGAGTTTGGGATTTGGCTGTCGTTTGTCGTAGGGGTATGCAGTTGCGAAGCAGCCACGTGTTTGCTGTAATCCGTAAAAAAAGATCCGGAAGCTTAAAAATGTCTGCTCGTTAAAGCATTGGCGTTGTCTTCTAATATGCATCTCCTAGTTGTTTTCTGCTACCATGGCAACCATGAAGTATCTGCAGCTACTGACAACACATCTAACGTCTCTGAGAGCCGACCTGTCGCGCCCGGTACTGTCGCCGTGATGTGCTGCGTTCGAGTCATATCACAGAGGTAGTACCGTGTGCGCTGGGCCGCACACTCCGTGTGCGCTGGGCCGCACACTCCGTGTGTGCTGGGCCGCACACTCGCCCCTCCCAGTGGATACCGAGCGGCCGGTGCCGGAGGGAACTGGTCAGGTGATGTGCTGTGCTCCAGACATATCACAGGGCTAGTTTCACTCGGCGCCGGCGCGCTGGTCGTCGTGGAGACAGCGCCGGCTGACTGACGGACGGACTGTGGGGGAGTCGGGTAGTCGGCGGCGTCCCGCTGGCCCTCGCGGTGCTGTGCGTTGTTCGGCCGCCATAGCACCACGGGATTCAGCGAGAGGCCGACGGCGCTACAACCGCACCGGCCCGGACCGAGGCTATGGGGTGGGGTGGATAGGTGGAGATGTGGAACGTATGAAAGTTGGCGGGCAGTTTACCTTACATACTTTTAAGCTGATTGTTTTTTTGTTTTTTGTTTTTTGTCGGGAATGCATAATTATGCAGCCATGCTATTGTACTTCACGTTGATGCTGCTGTTTCATTTAGCCACATCAGACTTATTTCACGACGTATTACCTAACGTTGTCATTGCTGAGTGCCGCCTCTGTATGTGCTTGTGCCGCCCACTGACCAATGCCGGCGCCCCCGACAGCTGCCGCGGACGCCGACCTGGCCCGACTAGAGCAGAGTGACGACTTCCTGGCCATCGAGCCGCCACTCTCCGAGGCCGACTACTCGTTCTGCCTAGAGGCGTCCGAGGGCGCCATCGACCTGTTCGACTTCTCGTTCTGAGACCGGGGTGGTGTCACACTGCCAGCTAGGCAGAGGTGTCCTGGGTGATGACTCGTCAGAGGCGCTCTGACTTCGTCTGGCGAATGTGCCCGTTTGGAGTCGATCGCGGCGAATGGATGGGGTACATCCATGATCGGAGAGATTGGCGCCAGCGGATTGTGATTTGTGTGTACTCATTCACTGTGTGATGCCATCGAATCAGTGTCTCATTGCAAGTTTTTATAAGAGCATGTAACAATGGTATAAAATTAGGCACCAACCTGTCTAGAAACAAACTGTTTTCTCCCGGTAGCTGTGATCCGATCAATCCTTCTACAGGAGTTTCTCTTCGAGGAGAACTGCGGTGGCCAGCCGATGTATTGTTCAGTGTGATTCTGTCGGCTAGCGAAATTCATCTTCATTTTTACCTGAAGGCTACGGCTGGCAAGCGGCTTTTTTACATGTGTTGTCTACATGAGCTCTGCGCAGTAGTGCGCTCTTCTGTAATTGTGATTGGTGCTTGAGTAGTGTGCTCTGAAAAACCGTAGATGTTTTCAGATTTTTCAGCGTAATATTGTTTTATGTATTAGTTATTTTGTTTTATATTTTATAGTGAGCCGATTAATATTTTCTGAACCCTGTACCTGTTGTAATGTAGAAGCAATCTGGATTGGTTTGTGGGTGCACTGAACGCATTCAGGTAGGTTTACCTGGCTGGCCACTCTAATCCAGCACAAATGGGTTATGAATTATCGCACAGATGGCATTCACTGTATATTCAGAGCACTGGCATACTTGTTTGCTAAATAAGGCACGTGAAAGTCCCGAGTCTTGTACGCGACAGCCCGCACAACGTTCTACCGCGGCACCGGCTGCGCAGGCACGCCTTCCCTTTGATTCCTGCCACATGGCAAGCGCAAATGTGGAGTGTGTTCGATTTGCTACTCTTCTGTGCTTTCAAGTGCGACAGCGTGCCCAGTTGGCCGCAGGACGGGCGGCGCGCGGCTCCAGATTTCGGCTACCTCTTGTGACTGAGGTGCGCTATTTGCGCGTTTATCCTTAACGCGCTCTTGGTGTCTTGCTTTCATTCTGGTTTTGTTTGATTAATTTCTTGGGCTCTAAAGCGTCCAGATTCATTTTACATTGTACTTATGTCTGTGTCTTGTTTTGTTTGGCAATCGCGCCTCGTTTTCTCCCGAAGGAGAAGCTTTAACAAATGCTGATTTATAGATTTCCTGTTCGGGATGAGATTGACCACTTCGTGACCTGAGAATATACAAACTGTGGCTCTTATGTTGCGTTTAAACACGAAGTATGATTTTCAAATGACACGGGTCCTTGGACGCACGTTTCTGTTGTCACCCTGACCTGCGATGAGCCACTCGAGAGTCGAGTGAGATTGACATTGCCAGTTCACGAGTCGGCAGTTTTTGCCAAATATTTCAGCTGAAACGTCATTCTGTGACGTTTCAACTAAAATTGTGATTTGAACCCACTTGGATTTTACGCAGAGGTTTAAAAAGGCGGGGAGGGCAATAAGTCGGGTTCCCTCGATTTCAAGCATTAGTGCCCTGATCAAGCACAAGACATAGGCTGTGTCGACAAAGTTTCGGGTCGTGCGACTAAATGTAGGCAGCTTTCAGTTTGTGTCTCGATGCGTAAGGTGTCGTGTCAAGTGGCACGAAATTGTCCAATCCAATGCCCGTCCCGCCTCCCGTTCCGATTGCCGATGTCATAATAACTCATCGTTTATTTACGGTCACATCTCAACATCATACATTACGTGTCAGACAAGGCCACCACTACCAACCGGGTCGGTCGGAATCACAGCTGATTGCTGTCAAGCAACTACACACAGCCTTTATTAGGCAATGGGAACCACCCTTTCACAAGTCCGTATTTCATACAAGCGCGATATGAAACCAATGCGAGTCATCCTATCACTGGTAAATACCGATACCAACTGAAATGTCAGGTGTGTGCCTAAAATTTCAAGAAACATCAAGCGTAAAACAATGTAGTCAATGAAAGCGAGATAAAAACATGGCTGCAACCAAGTTGCATTACAGAGCATATCAGCCTCAAAACGGACGAAAATCGAATTGAAAAGTTAAAAAAGTTTTTACAAAGGTGTAAGTAGCTATAAACGACTGCATAAACCTAAAGGGTATGCAGGTCAATAATAGAAATGCCCCGCTGTTGGCCATTTCACTCACAACAGCAAACAGCTGTTTGGAATTGAATTTAGACACGTGTCGTCAGGGAGCGTCAAAGTGAAATCTCACAAATACATCAAAAGCATGCCCACTTCGTCGCGCGACTATCTAGAAACTTCATGCAACCTAAAACCTACATCGCTTCAGCTGAGAAGCGTCATAAAATACTCGGCGAACCAGTTCAGTCAGGCTGTGGAGAGGGTGTGGGATCAGGCACCTCACCAAACGGGCAGCACGCGGTGTGTGCGTGCGGCGCGGCGCGTCCACATAGGCTTCACTTCACGCAGCGGACTGCGGTTGCGGTCTGCCCAGTCGAAGAACCGTTCGCCGTGTGACTGACACAGGAGCAGCAGCGCCTCCACATCGTCCGCGGCGCTGTGGCTCAGTGCCGGCGGCACGCCGAACCGGCGCTCGTAGAGGTCGGGCAGCGCCAGGGAGGGTTTCAGGCCGCCGCCAGCGGTCGCGACACCCTGCTCCGGAAACAGCCGGCGCCGTACGCGCGGCGGCGGCCGCCGGTAGCGCGGCACGTGGTCACAAACGACGCAGCGCGCACCGTCCGCGTGGCGACAGCGGATGGCGCGCCGGCTGCCCACCGACGTGAACTCGAACTCGCCGATCGCACGGTCGCACTCGTCGAACGACACCCACATGCCCGGATTGCAGACCAGGCAGGAGTCGTCGGCGGCCTCGTGGCAGCAGGAGAGGGTGGTCGGGTTGAGCGCGTACACGGTCGGCGCGCCAGGGGCGCGAGGTGGCTCCGGTCGGTCGGTGCCGGCGGCCACGGCGCGGAAAAACGCCAGTGAGTCCACGCACAGCAGCTCGCTCGAGTCGAACCACGTCTGCGGCAGAGGGCGCGACCAACAGTCAGCGGCAGTCGGTGCGGCACAGCACAAAGGCACCAGACAAAGGTGTCGGCATTCAGCAGTCAGTAATAGCTTGGCTGTTATCTACGCTTAACCGCCAGGGCGAAAATTTTGTTGGGATTAGATCCACGATTCAGGCCCTGAATCGTGGATCTAATCCCAACAAAATTTTCGTCTGAAGCCCCTGAATTTCAGGGGCTCATTTCCATTCCCAAACGAATCGCCATTTTACACTGTGTACCTATACAGTATACGTGGTAAGCAGGCGTCCTGGATGGCTCACCAACTGGTCAACAGGGACACTTCCGTCATCCACCACAATGGTTTCAGTATTCAAACCCTTTGCTAGCCCATAGCTATGTCACAATTTACCTACTTACAAATGTATTTGCACAAGCCTAGAATCAAAAAGTTAGGAACAACACCCATGTCGCTCAACTAATTAATCCGAACTTCAATGCGGCAAAAATGTAAAACTAACCAATATTGGCAACGGACAACATACAAAAGACCGACGGAGGCTGAGGCCTTCCGCCCCTATACGGTACTTAAAACCGATCGATTATGTGGAAGTGTGATTATCTGTATCATAATAGCGACAAATGACAATCCTGACTCCGCCGACAGGGGTATTCCACGTCAAATCAAACACCGAAATCCGTCATTCCCTTCGATTTTTCTGAAAATTTGTAGGTAGACTGGGCATGGTTCAAAACTGAGTTGCGTATAATATTTTCGAAATTTGATAACGTATCGCTGAGATATAGGTCATCAAATATAGAGAAAAATGCCACGCATCAATTTTTTAAATGGCTATAACTCTGGTTCCTTTTCTGGTATCAAAATGATATTAACAGGGTCTTATAGGCCATTGATAAGGCTTTGATTTTTAATTATAAAATTAAATTGAAGTGACCTTGAAATGCATTTGACCTTTAATTAAAACAGAAAAATTTAAATAGCAAAAAACACGTCACCTTCGATTTGGGTAATTTTTACATATTATGTCCGTCACAATGTTCCTAACCATCTGTGAAAAAAATGGAGTGGGCCATTCATAACTTTCGCGGCAAACGCCGTTTTCATGCATCAACATCACGCAACCGCGCGTGACCTTGAAAGGCAGAGTCAAGACATGCTTGCTTGTGTACACTTTCTGAAATGAATGATTGCTGATTAGTGATATCCCAAACTCTGCGAGAATGGAAATGCATAGTCATCGTAGTCAAGTTTTCACGTTCCATAGTAAAAGTGTCTCAGGCAAACGGTATTTTGCGGTGAATTTTGAGCCGTGTGGAAATGCATCATGAAGTAAATTCAACGAAAACATTATCACGCAACGATATCTTCACGTCTTTTGATCTTCACTATACGAAAGAACATACATTTTTTTAGTATGTATGGGAATTTCTAGTTAATCCAATAATAAATATGGCAGTTAGAGGCCTCAGCTAAGAGTAACATGTCGCCGGCTGAGGCGGGCTCGGCCGATGCGGGAAACGCAGCATTGGCAGCAATCACAATTTTGTGTTTACACGTTCATATTTCAATTGTTTACCAACCGATTTTCAAAATTCTTTCACCATAAGATTGCCTGTACATTTCTTAGTCTTCTCACAAAATTTGACGCGAATCGAACGTAATCAGCGGTAGGGAGCGCGATGTAAAGACGGAACCGTTCCGTTCCGTCCCGGCACAGTCTACAATTCAGGCGGCGCGTAGCGGTCGGCGCCGGCTGCCGAGTCGCCGCGTCGCTGCGGCGACAGTATGTTCACTTTACAACGCTATTACTAGAGCAGTTGTGAACCGATTTTCTTATTGCTTGCACGATGAGATGTCCAATTCAATTCTTGACAGGTAGCCATAATTAATTTCGCATTCATCTTATGAGATATTGGCGAAAAAACAGGAGGGGTGGGCGAAATTCGCTCTTCCCCCTCCACTGCGCATGCTAACATACGTTTGCATATGTGCAATTTTTTTCAAAACTTATGAATGGCCCACTCTAATTTTTTTCACAGGTTGTTAAGAATATGGTAGGCAATAAAATATATGAAAATGAGCCAAATCGAAGGTGACGTGTTTTTTGCTATTTCAATATTCGTGCTTAAGAACAGAGTTAAGCAACTTTCAAGGTCATATATTTAAGTAGGTGCAATTCTAAACAAATGCTTAAGAAATTACCTAAACAGTAAGGTTTATTTCATTCAAATCAAACAAGTACAACCAAAGTTATGATCGTTCAAAAATATAAAGATGCAACATTTTGTAAAAATTTGATGCCCTATCTTTAGAAGACCTGTGGTCAGAATGTGCAAAAAACATCAATGTAATGTCCGGGGCCACACAGGAACTCGCTCACAAATTTATAATAAAATCGCTGATGGTAAGGTGCAAAACAGCCGATTTTTGTTCGATTTGACGTGGAATGCCCCGACAGCAGACTGGTATTGGATCAAATAACACCAGTCAAGCAGGCCGGTGGCAGCCTAACGATCCCTCGCAACTCACCGCTGCCGGGAGACGGCAAACTCAACGCTACTCAACACTGAAGAGAAAACAGCGACTCATCTCAACTTACCACCGGCTGGGACACGGCAACTCACAACAACTCACAACTCACCACCACCCACCGCGGCTTCTCACCTGTTTGGCATGCAGCAGCTCGGCTACGAGCAGCGGAAAGTCGTATCGGTAGCCATTGTGCGCCACCAGGCACACGGGTCCCGGCAGCCGGCGCAGGTACGCGCGCAGCATTTCGGCCAGGTCGCGATCAAACGCCGAGTGCGCCTCCAGCGTCTCGTTGTCGAGCTCTGTCCAGGCATCGGAAATAACACTTTAGGGAAGCGGCAAAACAAATATCGTGGAAAATAATTAATAAGACGCATTGCGCTGAAACTGACTGTAATACTGAGCGTGTTTGCTAGCGATTCACATTTTCGGAGCGTCGTCGACACTGAGGTGATAAATGATTAGGTATGCGTCAAATAGTAAGATAAGTTATCATTAACATTTAACTACGCTCAACGCTGTGCCTTCACGGAGTATCTCCTTCTTGACGAAACCTAACCGATTACAAACACGATCAAACAAGCACTCGCAGAGCTTAAGCTCCACTGAAAAGACCCAAGTTGTTTTTTGTCATGACGGTACGGCATAAGAGGTGTCTGAGGGCGGTTTGTTACCGGTAATATCGGTGACGATCGCCGGTATCTGTTTGCGCGGACTGACGGCGAGCAGCAGCGAGTTCCGCACGCGCGGCGGCGTCGGCACCGGCAGCGGCTCCGTCGGCGCGTCGTCGTCGTCGTCGTCTTCGTCCGAGGTGTCGTCTGAGACGGGCGGGGTGGCGCATCCGGCCACCACCCGCGGCCGGGGCCGGGCGCGCGCCGCGCCGGCGGCCGCCAGACGGTCTGCGCACGGTCAGCGGGCACGGGTCAGCACAGCCGAGCGGTCAGCGGGCACGGGTCAGCACAGCCCAGCGGTCAGCGGGCACGGGCAGCACAGTCGAGCGGTCAACGGGCACGGGTCAGCACAGTCGAGCGGTCAGCGGTTCTATGTCAGCAGAGCTGAGCGGGGTTCAAATGCGCGCCAACCCCTTGAACGAGAACACACATCGGCCAGAATGAGCACAAACGCACAGTGAACGCTCCCCGAGAATCACGGTCCACACTCGCCAGGGTACTGCGACTAATTAACTACCTTTTCAATGTGCAACAGGGCCAAAAGACCACCATTTACGGCAAAACGGATATACTGGACTGAGAGAGATGGGGGGGGGGGGGTGAACTGGGAGAAAATTGCGACACTTTATGAATCTTGTATATCTACTATGGATTTCAAACAATCTGTGAGCATCTTTATCGTCCTTCTCGTACTCGCCCATTCGTTCGATTCCAAACAAACCTCGTCACGTCCTGTTTTTGAAAATACCTTATGTTTAGCACTACGGTCTGTTACAAAAATAGGGACTTGTCACTGATGAATACTACAATGTCACTAGAACCCAGTTTGAAGGCTAGTCGCGGGTGGCACTCATACGTTACTTTCCGACGTTTCCTGACGATTGATGACATTAAAATCAACGGCAAGTGCCTTCAGTTTTTATTTTTCGCTCTTACCGATTACAAAATGGCTGGGTGTGTGTTCAAAACTCAGTGCCAAGGTTTGGTTTGAAGCAAACAAATGGACATTGAACAACGAGACATAGCCTTAAAAAGAGACTTACAGAAGGCTTGAAATCCATACAAGATTAGGTTGATAAGCCAGGATAGAAGTCCTAAAAGAGAAAGGACAGTCATCGTCATGATGGGGTATACAAAATGGAATCATTTAATCATACCATGCACGTCTGTTCATAAGTTGGGCTTCAGGGCAATGTGTGTGGAATAGAAAGGACTCTGACCTGATGAAGTATGTTACATTAGTATGAAGAATTGCCAACTCAGAGGGATACTGATCGAATAGACAAAGGCTTTATGTAAAACCCTCCAGCCATTTACGAGCCTCAACACCGGCGCGAAATCAACATATACCTACATACACCAAAAGTCCACACGTGTTACACCCTGGACCCATTCCACATCCCCGGCGTTCCCCGGCCTCCTCACCATGCTCTCTGGTTGGCCGCTTCGGCGTCACGCGGCCCCTCTCGTTGGGCGGCAGATGCTCGAGTATTCCGGGACCAGGCGCCGGGCGCCGGGGCTGCGCCGCGCCGCAGCCAGCCGGCCGCTGCACAGCTACCAGGGAGAGCTCCATGATGCGCACCGGGTAGTCGGCCGGCTGGCTGGGCAGCCCCGTCCCCTCCAGGTCGAAGAAGACGAACGTCTGGATCCTGGCCGGCGCGGCGCCGGTCGCCATCCCGTCAGAGGGCGCCCGACGGGGCCGTCTGGAACAGAGCGGAGCCGAGCTCAGCAGCGGTCGCACCAATACACAATGAACGCGGAAGAAATTTGCAAAAGCATGGCAAGACACGGAATAACTTCGATGGAAACGCATAAAAATTCCATTTCATTAAAATGCTATGCCGAGGTCGATATACATCATGAACGAGAACACCAAAAGTCCTAAGCAGTTAAGCTTTGTAAGAATGGAAGATGATATTAGGCATGAAACATAGCTAATAGAATATAAATACTTTTCAGGTGAGTAATTTGTGGGCCTTGTCCGGCCTTGTCAGTGTAAAAATATACAGACATGCCAGATAAAAACTTCCACAATGCGCATGAAATTCTTTCAATCATAACTCCTAATCAGGGATATCCTGGCCATCGCCGACTCCGGTTGGCTTCGAGTTAGAGCAAAATGACTCGGAATTTCCGACAAAGTTCAAACTATACAGAGTCTCGCTTTGGAATAAATACTGATTTTGACAACTCTGCTACCAGCTCCAGCGCTCGTTTGCGGTAAATTATCAAAAAAAAAAATAGCCCCTAAGCCACACAAGGACAAAGGAATTCACCGTAAGACTCACAGCATTGAAGACCCCCCCCCCCCCATTTAAGGCCTCAGAAAAGACGTAGACTGAATTTGAAAGATAGGCGCCACTGGAAAAGAAGAACTACTTAAGATCTACTTTTAACGACGGTGCCAATCTGCAATCACTCACAGGTCTTGTCAACAGATATCTACTTCGGAATGGAGAGAGGGGACGAAGGGTCGGCAAAGACCATACCATGCTGAAAATACCAGAGAAGAATGGGGAGAGAAGTCTCGAACATTCCGACGGGGAGCGATCACGATCAACCTGACCAACAACAACAAGGTCGGTCAGGACATTCACAACACGATCCGTCGGGAGACAGCAGACACACGCTACATTTTCCCAGAGCAAGCCAAGTGGAATTGGAGCAACATATCCAGTGGAAGTATTCAGTCTCCTGCTGAGCTTCATGGCATCAAAAGCACGCTGGGACAAGCAGTCTCTCGCGTATTCAGAGAGACCAGTAGTCATTCGTGTTGATTCCAAGGCAGTGCTGACCCAGGTGAGTGGAGGCGTCGGATCACAGAAAACTCAGCTGGGAGCAGTGATCTCTGAATGGTTTATCTTGTGGCTTACATAGCTTTGGTATAGATGCTGCTATTTCATACCCCCCAAAGCCAAGGAATTACAGGAAACATGAGGCCAAGAAATCACACTGCAGGCTGCAGGTGTCGGCTCATCGTGGAATCCCCAGAAACGAGAAGGCAACTGAGATGACGAGAGGAGCCTATTTCCAACAGGAGGCGCCAGCAGATGCCCACACGATGACAATTATGGGTGCCATGGCTAGAACAGCTTCAGGGACATGGCATCAAATATGGCCATCAGCCTCTAAGTTTGAGCAAATCTTGGAAAGTAGATGCCGAGTCCCATCTTCAGCGTGGCCAGGAGTTCAGTAGTTAACCAGCACCAGTTAAAGTTGCATGCCAATCAGTCTAAGATGATACGGCAGTACCTCCACTGCATCAGCTGACAGCTGTGCCTGTATCAATATGTGGGCCTGCACTGATCGGCCGCAACTGCTGCCTCTGGACAGTGGAGACAGCGGTGCTTCATCTATAGGGACCTGGAGGCACACCTGACTGAACATCACAACCTACTGTTTTGGTGTCCGTGTGGCTGACTTATCTTATCGAGTTCAGGAATTGAAGGCCACTAGGTCTGGGGTACACTGTACATTTTACAGGGTTGCGGAGTTGCGGACTGCGGAGTCGATGAATTATCGGTAAAATCGACTTCAACTCCGGGCAGAACTGTCAACTCCGAGTCTCCGACCGACTCCGGTCTCCGACTCCACAGACCTGGTAGGTTCGCGGAGCCGATGAATTTCCGTTAACTCCAACTCCGGCTCCAGCTCCTAAAATCGACTCCAACTCATCAGTGCCGTTGGCTCCGACTCCGACCGACTACGGCTATGGCTACGGGTACGGCTACGACTTCGCAGCCCTCCTGGATCCCCCTATCTTGGAGCCCCGAATGTCAAGTGATGAGCAATCATGAGCTTCAAAAGGAATATAGTGAGTGTGGAAATTGGACATCTCTCAACGGCTAACCATGCGATGGGAAGGATGGAGCCCAGCTCCCGTACCTACACATCGGAAGGGCTGGCCGGGAAGCAACGGCGATAAATTGCAAGGATGCATACCATCAATTGAGACATCCAGCGTTTCTCACCATGCCTACCCTCTCGCACACATGAGCAGGGTGGGCTGGGACCGGCACGACGGCAACAGTCACAAAGCCGCGTGCCCGTGGGGTCGCATCGTCATTAATGCTTGCCCACATCTGACCATAAACACAGCAGAGCGTTACACAAGGGGGGACCGCGATTACCGCGAGTCAACGCATGGGCGCCCAGTGGTGTGCAACATCGTACACACGGTGGGGCTCCCTCTGATAACATGGAGAAACCTACATATGGCCTTGAAGAAAACAGTTCAGGTACTGCGATGCAACTAGTCTGGCGGTATTGATATACCTATGACTGCATTCTCTTTCCTGGCCCAGGCTGAGGCCCCAACCCAAACCCATGTTACGGTTCGTTCAATCTTGATTCTCTAAAGCTGAGCTCTGTTCGCCCCCCGTTTATTTATCAGCAGGCTGCGACCATGCTGCTATTTCTTGGCTCCTCATTGGTCGAATTCAAGTGGTCTATTCGTTAGACCAATGAGAGGCCAAGATGCGCCAGCACTTCCTTATATGGGGAAAACCGACAGCACGCTGATATAACACGCGCACTGCAGCGGGTCTGAGCCGAACACGAACTGCAAGAGGGGCGGGGGGGGGGGGTTGAAAACAACAACCCCTGAGATCTCGAAAACGGCGCAACGTAGCGACAAACGGTAAACGGCGTTAGATAGGTGGAGATGTTATTTAGAGGAAATACTAGGTCATTTTTGTCTCAGGTCAAAAACGAGGTCACCAGAGGTCACCAAAGACAAAATGTTACGATTTTCACAACAGGAATTTCGCGGTAGTTTTTCTTGAATAACTTGTCTTGCACACAAGATAGAGGATCGATTCGAACGCCATCGTTCTTAGCTCGTCAAGGCGCATCGAATGATATATTATATGACCTCAAAAGGTCAAGCTGAAAATTTGACCTCAGGTCAAGGTCATGACCTGACCAAAATAGGTCATGTTGCATATCATTCGATCCGCATTTACGAGAAAAACACGATAAACGTCGAACGGAGTCTCTATCTCTATTCAATCTCAAGTTATTGAAGAAAAACCGCTGGTGACCTCAGGTGACCTAAGATGACCTGGAGATCACCTTCCAAAGGTCACAAGTGATATGTTTCGGTGAAATCACCAACAGGGACCTGTAATACTATGATCCTGAGCATATTGAAGTCATAGGATGGCATTCAGAGTAAGTTGAAATTTCTCCCATTGACTTATAATGGGCCGGTCGCAAAAATGACCTGACCTTAGGTCATCGATATAAAATTCTGAGATAAACAAGTTGTAGCTCGTGATGACTTTACTATTTCCTGTGGGTTTCAAGATCATATCTCAACAACTGTGGGCTTGGTGGGATTGCATACTTCGAAATTTACGTTTCGAGGTAGGGTCACTTGACCTGACCTGGTGACCTGACCATAGGTCACCTGGGGTCAAAATTTTTACTCAAGGTGTGCAAAAGTTGGGAGAACAGGTATGGAAAATTTGGCGCTCGCGATTTGCGAAAAACCACAGGGGGGGTTGAAAACAGCCCCCCCCCCCCTGCAGTGCGCGTGATAAAAACATCGACCGAACAGGGCTCAGGTCACATATAAATATTCTTCTTACCAAGGCTTATAAAAGCAGTGCTATTCGCTGTCACTGCTCTAATCATAACAAAAACTGCAAACAACAACAAAAAACAACATTCGATCAACATCCTCCAAACCTACCGTATTTACTTGCTGTGTCAGTTTAGCTGTTTGCAAGGCCCTAAAACACAACTGTAAACAAACAAGGCTGCTCCAGCTCGTTTGTTTACAACCGCGTACGCTTCGCTCCGCCCATTATTTAACAGCCCCGCCGCTCCACGCTCTTTTGGGAGAGACTGGGGAGGAGAGGGAGGAGGGGGAGGAGAGACGCCGCGTCGCTTGTTGTTTTTGTGGTTGTTTTTTATCACAAAGGTACTACATAAGAGTTGTACTAAATTTTACGTCATTAGACCACAGGAGGTACACACAGCAGGTTATCAAAATTTCGCAAAAATAACCATCGTGCCTGCAAATGAGATTCTATGATAGATACTGAATGTTGTTTTGTGACATAATTGGATGGTAGCCTTAGGTAATTTTAAAGAAAAAATTAAGCATAGACTGACAGGAATTTTAGCCCAATATGATTCACAAAATGATAATGACGTCACAATACCTTTTTATTTAACACCCGTCAAGACTTCGGCTGCGGCGTGAGCCGGCGCGCGTATTTACAAATTGCAACCGAGCTCCGCCGTGGGGTAAGGTGGGCAGGGGTTTTCGCACTACGGCTGCGGTTGAACTACGCGTATATTCGAATGCAGTATGAGTAGAGCATGGGTCCCGAAAAATTCTTCAGAAACTAGAGAAATTCTCGCGGGGCAGGACGTCTGTCAAACTAGCAGCGAGTCCAGCAGCGAGAAACGGGCCATCCCGATTTAGCTGAAAATTTGCTCACAGAGCCTTCTCAGCACGCTGATTCCGAAAATCATGGTCTCTTGGGTGGGAATCTTTACCGTTCTCGAGATAGAACCCTCTAAAGTTTTCGACACCCATGACCGGGCCATCCCGATTTGGCTGAAAATTGGCTCACAGAGCCTTCTCAGTACGCTGACTCCGAAAATCATGGTCTCTAGAGTGGGAATCTTTACCGTTCTCGAGATAGAACCCTCTATAGTTCTTACCACCCATGACCGGGCCATCCCGATT